ACACACACACACACACACACACACACACACACACACACACGAGTGGGGGAGGGGCAGAGAGAGAGGGAGACAAAATCCGAAGCAGGCTCCAAGCTCTGAGCCATCAGCACAGAGCCCAATGCGGGGCTTGAACTCACGGACTGCGAGATCGTGACCTGGTGACCTGAGCTGAAGTTGATCTGACCGAGCCACCCAGGTGCCCCAAGGGCCTTGTTTTTTTAAACTTGGCATCTCTGATGCTCTATCTGCATTTCGGGGGGGGCAAAAGAAAAGCAGAAACTTTGGTCTTTGGCATCTCAGGCCCAGGGGGAGGGAACTGCCCTTCCGAACAGAGGGGAAGAGAAAATGATCGGGAAGGACTTGGGTTTCCCAACTGGTGCCCCGGATGGGAAGTGGAGCGAGTGGAGACAGACAGGCATGACGGGGCCAGGGAAGGGGGAGAAGCACTGAAGCATGGCCCCTCCTTTGGAATCTTTCCAGAGAACACGTCCGTTCCCTCTGGGCTGGGCATCTGTCTGGCCTTGGTCACCGCTACACCCCCAGTTCTTAGGAGACCACGGCCAACATAATAGGTGCTCATTTAGTACTTAGCCGCACACGCTCATTGGATGATCCCATCAACACTCAAGACTTCACTTGGCATCTACATGCTGATGACTCTGGCATCTATACCTCCAGTAGGAGTTTTGAGTTCCAGATGGCCTTTCTAATTTATACTCCTATAGGTGGTCAAACTCAGGAGGTCCGAAACGAATTAATCCATCTTTCCCTTCTGTCCTCATGGTTTTGCATCCCCTCCCCCTCAACCCCATCCCGGTGAACTGCCCCAGCCAGGAAACTAGGAATTGTCTTCACTCGGCTTCACCCTCAACAGCCAGTCCACCACCAGGTCCAAATGGTCCCCCATCCCAGCCCACCACAGCCACCTCAAGGAAGTGGGCCACCAGCACCTCTCCTGGTTGCTATGGCCCATCCAACTCGGGTCCTCTTTCCCAGGGGAAACACGGTCACCCCACTCCCTGCTTGAGAACTACACATGCCCGCCCAGTGCCTACAGTGGGGAGTCAAAACACCAGTGTGTCCTATGAGAGTCTTCCTGATCTGGCCACTTGCCAAGAACCCCGCGACCCCATCCTTCGAACAGAACTGTGTTTTCCTGGTTTCCTCTTGATATGCATGCCCTTCCTTATAGCTAAGCATTTGTCTTTGGCTAACTGATGCTAATCCCCAAGATCACAGCTTCAATCTTACACTTCACTTACTCTGGTTACTACTAACCTTTCGGTGAAGGAGCCTCGACAGGGTGTGACAACAGTCCTGGATCTCCCTCGTGCTGGTGCTTGGCCCCAGGGCTTGAGCTCTGTGAGGCTGGGCCGCCCTGCGCCCTCACCATCCGGGGCTGCTGCATAGGGCCCCACACTTGGGCTCTAATGCCCTTCTGCCATTTTGAAATTTTCAGCAATTAAAAAAAAACTTATTTTGAGAGACAGTGTGAGCAGGGGAGGGGCAGAGAGAGAGGGAGAGAAAGAATCCCAAGCAGGCTCTGCACTGTCAGCTCAGATCCCGACGCCGGGCTCGATCCCACAAACCGTGAGATCATGACCTGAGCCCAAATCAAGAGTCGGACGTGTAACCGACTGAGCCACCCAGGTGCCCCTGAAATTTTTAGTAATTTTTGAATGAGGAGCCCTTCCTTGGCTCGCCATGGCATGCACAATGCTGACACCGAGTCTGGTGACTAGATATACTCTACACTTGGGAAACCAATAAGTGAACGCTGCCCCATGACTGTCTCTTGTCTGTAGCCTTTCCCTCTCTTCTAGTTCTTTCCCGAGGCCCAGCACGTGTGTTTTCCATTAGAAACAACACAGATTACCCTCCTGGCACCCTGCTCCTCCCCCAGGGAGTCTCCATCTCCAGCCCGCTCTGGGCTTCCAGACCTTTCCAAAGAGTGGTCCAAGCGTGAGGGGACACTAAGTCATCACCATCAGTCCACACCATTCTATCGCCCTGGTTCTCCACCCGGATGGTTTTGCCTCCAGGGTACTTCCGGCCACATCTGCGGGCACTCGGGTTGTCATGACCGGGGAGGCCCATGTTGGCATCTAGCTCGGGGTCCTAACGTGCACACGCCTACCCCTCACAACGCAAAACCAGCCGGGCCGAGCGACGACAGCGACGAGGTTCAGAAACCCTGCTCTCCCGAATCAGGAAAGAGCTCTTGTCCAGGTCACTGAGGATGGATGTCCCAGATCCAGTGGCCTTTACGGAGCCCTCATTTGACCGGACCTTTCTCTACCACGCGGCACCTCTAGTGAACGGCTACTCCTCGAAGCTCTTTCTCTGCTGGGTGTTCAAGGGCTCTCACTTCTCTGTCCACACTCCTAGCTCCTGCGCCTCAGCAGGTTTCACGCGTGGGGAGAGCCCCAGAAGCGGCCTCTCCTGGGGGTGGCTTCAGAAACACCACCGTGCGTGCCAGTGACGAGCGTGGGTCTGTCACCTAACAGGCGGGGGGACCTCGGAGGAGCCGGACTTCTCTCCACGCCTCAGCCTTTCGTGCCTGCGTGGCCTCCTCGGAGTCTCCCAGCAGATCTAACGGCTCCCCCTGCTGGGCTCCCCCGTCCGGATCCTGGCCTCACCCCTATCCACCCACTGACGCGACCACCTTTTCAAGTACACGGGGAATCCTTTGCAGGTACAGATGATGTCTTATTTATCTCTGTGTTTCTAGACTTAGTGCAGCCCCTGGCACACGGGAGGGGCTCCACAGATCTTGGGTGATTCAATTAATGAATAATAATCCGTCCCGGGAGGTGTGCGTCGTACGTTGAGGTGCCCCTACCACTGAAGAGGTTCCTCTGGGCAAAGTGAACAGCATTTCTCCTTTTATGCCTTAGAACTACGCCCTGCCCTGCTACCCCTTCTTTCGATCACTGCACCGTGCACCCAACTCTTTCCAGGAATTTCAGTCAATGATTTTCAATTTTCTTCTTCCTCACTCCCCTCAGGCTATTCACAAGTAGCCTGCCTACAGCACGGGAAAGAGCCCAGAGAGGAGAAAATGGACTGGGGTCCAGAGCCTGCCTCCTGGCCTGCCTCCAACGTTAACCAGAAGGGCACGTCGTGTCGCAGTACCTCTGCGCCGAGTTTCGCTGTCTGACAAGTGGCCATAACCACAAGCCAGCCTGCTGGCCACCCAGGGGGGCCGAGAGGCCCGGGTGAGAATGGGAGGCAAACGTCCCTTTTAAAAGCAACCATAAACCATGACATTTTGTTTTTGGTAACTTGAGAAACATCTCTGACCTCAAGCAGATACACAGGTCGCTCTCAAGAAAGACGGGCGGGCACCTGGGTAGCTCAGTCGGTTGAGCGTCCAACTCTTGATTTCGACTCAGGTCATGATCTCACGGTTTGTGAGTCTGAGTCCCGCACCGGGCTCTGTGCTGACCAGTGTGGAAACTGCTCGGAATTCTACTGCCCCCCTCTCAGCCCCCCACTCCCCTGCTGCTCGGTTTCTCTCTCTCTTAATAAACTCTCAGAAAAAAAGAAAAAAAAGAAAGAAAAAATGTTTTTGGCTTTACCCCCCTGGAAGCTGTGGCCCCAGTGTGAGAGGCCCCACAGCTAAGCTCAGGTATCGTGAGCTACAAACCAGAGAAAACACTGAAATAATGTTGGTTGTGTGGAGTTGAATTCAGGTTGGAAAAGACAAGGGCTTTTGCTACACATCAAACCCGTTTGATAAGAAAGAGTTACAAAAACTGAGAGCCTAGGGACGCCTAGCTGGGTCAGTCAGTAGAGCATGAGACTCTTGATCTCGGGGTTGTGAGTCTGAACCCCACGGTGGGTGCAGAGGTTACTGAAAAAAATAAAAATCTTCAAAAACAAACAAAGACCCAAGAGCCTCCACAGCGAATGCTTTCGGTATTAACTGGCATGTTCAGGCATAAACCCAATGTTAGCAATCAGGAAGATTTCACTTTTGAAAGGGTATCTGACTTGTTTACAAGAGAAATTAAGACCGTTAATGGAGTCAACCAGAGACTATGCTCATTTCAACATGGCCTTCTCTACGGGAAGAGTCAATCAAAACAAATCCTGAGACAATATGATATCAAAAGATAAGGAATGTGGAAATGAAAACAAGTCCACGGTTCCACCACGTTGACGTGACTAAGGCGATCCAGTCACCTTTAGCTTCATCTTATCTGTCCATCCGTGCATCATCTATCCATCCATCTGTCATGCATCAGTGAGTCAATCTGACTGTCCATCCCGTTACGTACCAGACATTGGTCTAGGCCTTCCATTAGCTAGCCCGATAAGCAGTCTACCGCCTTCTTGGTCCTTACGGAAGGTGCAGCAGTAATCTACGTGAACCACACCGAGAACCAGGCTCATCTCATTAGTCACCGCTGGTTGTTTGACAGAAATGGCCAGCAGCTCTGTGTTGAGGATTCTGATGCCTGCCTGCATCTTCATTATTAGTTCTGCTGTAAATAAATCTTCCCCCGGTTATCGTAATTCGTGAACCATACGTTTCCTGGTGGAAGATGGATGGAAAGATGACAGTCTGGAAAGCTTCCTGTTTGAGACACTGAGGAAAACCAGTGGAGAAGGAGACACCTGCTTTGTACCTTTATGAGATAATCATCGTGCCATTTCTCTTTAAAGGTAGAGGCTCAACATGGGTACAGTGCTCCAATCAAGAAGAATAAGCCAAGAAAAACAATCAGATGACATACATACAATATTCCCATGTCATACAAACATATAATCTCCCATCTTTACAAATTATCCCAATTGTTTCTGGGAGTCTCCACTTAGTTTTTTTTTTTTTTTTTAAGGTTTAGTTTTGAGAGAGAGAGAGCATGAGCCGGGAAGGGGCAGAGAGAGAGGGAGACACAGAATCTGAAGCAGGCTCTAGGCTCTGAGCTGTCAGCACAAATCCCGATGCAGCGCTTGAGCTCAGGAACCATGAGATCATGACCTGAGCCGAAGTTGGACGTTTAAACAACTGTGCCACCCAGGTGAACCCTGTTTTTGTTTTTTTATTATTTATTTAAAAAAAAAATTTTTTTTAACATTTATTTATTTTTGAGACAGAGAGAGACAGAGCATGAACAGGGAGGGGCAGAGAGAGAAAGGGAGACACAGAATCTGAAACAGGCTCCAGGCTCTGAGCTGTCAGCACAAAGCCCGACGCAGGGCTCAAACTCACGGACTGTGAGATCATGACCTGAGCCGAAGTCGGACGCTTAACCGACCGAGCCACCCAGGCATCCCTGTTTTTTTAGTATTAATCCAGGTTTCTGGTTTCTTTGAAACTTTTTTTTTTAATTTTTTTTTTCAACGTTTTATTTATTTTGGGAACAGAGAGAGACAGCACGAACGGGGGAGGGGCAGAGAGAGAGGGAGACACAGAACCGGAAACAGGCTCCAGGCCCTGAGCCATCAGCCCAGAGCCTGACGCGGGGCTCGAACTCACGGACCGCGAGATCGTGACCTGGCTGAAGTCGGACGCTTAACTGACTGCGCCACCCAGGCACCCCGAAACATTTTTTTAAAAGTTTATTTATTTATTTTGCGCGCGCATGCGCGAGAGAAAGTATGCAAGCAGGGGAGGAGCAGAGAGAGAGAGAGAGAGAGAGAGAGAGAGAGAGAGAGAGAGAGAGAATCCCAAGCAGGCTCCACACTGCCTGCACAGAGCCCAATGTGGGGCTCCAACTCACAAACTACAAGATCATGACCTGAGCCGAAACTAAGAGTCAGACGCTTAACCGACTCAGCCACCTAGGTACCACCCCCGCACTTGGTTTTTAACATGTCCTGCCATTATCAGAGAGCATCGGCCACTTTCATGCCTTAACCCCTTCACCGATGGCTTTTGCCTTCGCTGCTGGAAAAGCCACCTGGCAATACCTGGTCACTTTACCACCAGTGGCTGCCTCCCCAGCGTGCGGGCACGGATGTTCATGCCAATGGAGCTGATCTCATGCAAGAAAGCTGACCTCTGGTGGACTCAGGACACGTCCACCAAACTTGTCCACAACCGTCCGAGTCTCCGCAAAGACCTGATTTAGGCTCAAGCAGGAACTTCAAGTATACATGGGTGTCTACAGGAGTCTTTTCTGAACTTGGGCCTTCCCCAGGCATCTCTAGACTTACTGTTCTTAATCCTTTAAAGAATATTGCTTTTGATGGACACAGATCTCTGGGGCAAGGACGACGGGTGGTTCCAATGGAAAGAGGAGGCTCTGGGTGTCACTGTTGAGTGACTGTCACGGACGGTATCGTGGGTAGGGTGACGTACACAGCCCAGACCATAGGAGAATGGCCTAAAAGTATACATCAAATTTATTCACCTACTCATTTATCCGTTCATTCAAAAAATGTTATGGTCCCAAATTTCCCCAATGCCTCTGCTTTGCTGGGTCTCAATAAACAACAGGCAGGATCCCTGATTTACTTTCCGAAGGAAGGCAAGGGATGGAAAGTTGGACGTAGGCCCTGAATGGTCTCTTCCCACCTGGACTCCTTCTAGGAGCTGCAGACTATGTAGCTCCTGACTTTTTCACATTCACCCCCAACGGGCCAATCTCTCAGGGCCATTAGTGCTCAACAAGGAGAGGTCCGAGGGGACGTGAGGCCCCAGCCTCCTTTGGAGACTAACTCTCTTTGCCCAGCGTGGCTGGAGGCCAGTTTCTTCCCACGGCCTCCCACAAACTTTTATTTCTAGAGAAAATAACAACTCAGGCTCAGCTGAGATCCCAGGCTGTTTAGAAACCCAGAGATGAGGACACAAAAACCCCAAAGAGTCTCAGATGCCGGGTGGAGGGGGTTTTGGTGAGAGGGGTACAGAAGATGTGAACTGGGCTCTGTGCTGACAGCAGAGGGCCTGATGCGGGGCTCAAACCACAGACCACAAGATGATGACCGGAGCTAAAGTTGGAAGCTCAACCTGCTGAGCCACCCAGGTGCCCCTTTCACTCCTTAATTTTAAATGTAAAACTGGCTCTTTTTTTCAATGTTTATTTGGAGAGAGAGTGAGCTAACTTGGGGGAGGGGCAGAGAAAGAGGGAGAGAGAGAATCCCAAGCAGGCTCCGTGCTGTCAACGCAGAGCCCGACATGGCGCTAGAGCTCACCAACCATGAGATCATGACCTGATCCGAAATCAAGAGTTGGGACACTCAACCGACTGAACCACCCAGGCGCCCCAAATGTAAAGCTTCATTTTTAAGCCGATATACCCCGCAGCCCAAAGGGGTGTTATCAGATGTATTTTTTTTTTAATTTTTTTTTGAGAAAGAGCGTGAGCAGGGGAGGGGCAGAAAGAGAATGAGAGAGAGAGAGAGAGACAGAATCCGAAGCAGGCTCCAGGCTCCGAGCTGTCAGCACAGAGCCCGACGTGGGGCTCGAACTCACGAACCGTGAGATCGTGACCTGAGCCGGAGTCAGACGCTTAACTGACTGAGCCACCCAGGCGCCTCAAATGTAGTTATTCTCATGAAACTGTAAGTGCTTTCCTGTGGCATGATCATCTTTCATAAGACGTATCTTTCTGTATATGTGATGTAACAGACCAGATCCCTTCCTCCTCAATGCCCGGCCCCCCCCACCCTTTTTCTTTCTGGCAGCATGGTGGATTTTAGGAATGTCTCAACAGTCTGGATTTGCATTTTTGCATTCTTTGGCAACCTTTTTGTTAATTCTAAAAGGATCAGGAAAGATGAATGGGAAGGGTTGACCTGTCCGGGAAAGGATCTATTTAATGGGAACGGGAAAACGGACTGATAGGGACACTTCGAATACATTTTACCTTGATTATACAGGAAACAGAAATGATTTCTCCCTACTTCCTTTTGGCCTTATCTACCCAATGCTCTGGGAGAGGAGCATTGGCTCACACAGATGCTTAACCAGCTGAGCCACCCAGGCGCCCCCGGTCACCTCAGTTTTACACACATCCCGCGTGTCTGTGGTTCCGAGGCTTAACGGAACCTCCGGCACAACCTGTCTTCCCGTCTGTGCGAGGCTGGGTCTAGGTGTCCCCTGGATCTCCCGTCCCGAGGTTGGCGCTCAAGGAACCAGGTGCCAGTACTGGACGTCTCCTCCTCGTGTCCCTCCTCCTGGCACGTTCGTACCTCTTCCTGGGGCCGGAATCCAGCTCCCGCAGCAAAAACAAGACGACCCTCCTATCACTCCTGCTGAAACTCCCTTCCCAGCTGGGCCTGCTGGGCATGGCGTGTGGCCCCTCCTTTCTTGAGGACAACACACATCTTCTGC